TAAATAAAGACTTTAAAAATATTATGGTTTTTAAATGGTAAAAAGTAGTTAATATTTTTAATAACTTTTCTTGTTTATCTTATTTTTGAATAAATAGAATTTTTCTTGGTGTATAGCTAGGTGCCAAGAAAAATTGAAGTTCCAATTGGATTTCCCCTCTCCATTAATAGTCGGCTTTCATGTTTAATGTCTCACTTGGCGCACTCGCATTCCGAAGGCCATTCCTCTGATCTCCTAGCCAGTTATCGCTCCCATAAGTTCTAACGTGCTGCCATAAATTCAAATGCAAAACAGCCAGACAAGAGCTGAAATACTTAAAAGCCAGCGATAAGCCGGCTGCGATATGCTTGAGGAACCAAAGAGACACATCACCATCAACAACAACCGAACATAGAGAACAAATTAGCCAACAAGAAATGAGACAGCCAAATGGCAAAAGCATATCATTTAAGAGGTACTTCAAATAAATTACCCAATACCAGAAATAGAAGCAGAATCCACAGAAACCCAGTCGGAACTCCCAACTCAAGCAAAAAGCTGAGGAAACTAAAAGAAATCCAAAACAAACCGAATTTCAAATATTCTTTCAAATGAAATCAACACCTACTGTTAGTATAAGGTAAACAAAAAATGACTACATATATCACACTATTTACAGGGATTATAGGTTTTTTTATTACAAATGTTTTAAGAACTTCACACTTTCTCAGTTTCTAAAAATTGTTGTGATGATAGAATATCTCAGAAGTATATATTACAACATAAATAACTAAACTTAACAGACAACATACGATATAGATTACACTAATTATCTATTGAAAAGCGGAAACTATGACCGAGGGAGAACTTCCACAGGAAACTATAAGTTCAGATGATAGACATAGACCCAACTTGCGACTTTAAAACGAATGGACAACATGTGTTGGCTATGATAAAGAGTAATGATCCAAAGAGTACTCCAAGTCCCCAAAGAAAATCGAATTACCCTATTGAAGGGTAAGCCAAATGCCAATAGTTGTTGTTTTTGGTTGTCTATGATAGGCTGCTGCAACAACAACTGCAAGAACAACTGCAACATTGGCGACAACTTTGTAAAGTGTCAAAATAAATTCGATATTGTGGCTTAAAAAATGTTTATGGCCATGAGATAAATGCGCGACATTTGTGTAAATTACACGACAGCAGCGGGAGTAAGGAGCAGGGAGCTGGGAGCTGGGATCAGGAGGCAGGAGGAGGGAGTGGCCACCACTGGGAGCCACGCATGCTCACAACTAGCCGCCGTTGTTGTTGTAGGTGTTGCATGTGTTTTATGGCACATGCGATCAACTTGTTAAACTGTCACGTTAAATTTGCGTTTTATGTCAGGCGGCAGCAGCAACTGCTCCTAAGATCATACCGTCGAGAACAGAGTGCAGTCAACTCGAATGCAGTGGCTTATCAGCGGAGAGTTCCACATCCGCCATAGATGGACGCGTTCTTATCGCCGCAGAAGCCACTTCTGCCACCGAAGACGAAGTCGCAGGCGGATGGTTGACATTTGCCTATTTACTTAGATGCACTGCAAAGAAATAGTACGAACGAACTTTTAGATCATAAAATATCACAGCTTGGGACCGATTTTTAAATGTCATTTCAAGGTTCAGAAAGAGTTAACGTGAGGTCAAATTGGTTGGAAAACCCAAAACCGATTTCTAACGTGTGTTGCTAAAAAGGTCGTTCAGGATCGTATATTCATAAAAATGTATTATCTCCATCGTATGATCTCTGTGTTTGTATCTTCATTGGAATACTATAGATTAAAAACTCAGCTGGTTGTTTGTTACTTAGAGAAAAGGTTAAATTTTTTGTAAAATTCTGACAGGCTCTATAATGTATGCCATAGTCTTAATCTTATGATTTAAATGATTTGCTCAAAAATAAAATGGACATTCATTTAAATAAAAAGTTATAACACATATGAAAAAGTTATATATATACATATGAAATCTCTGATCCTTAGCTTCTTTCTGTGTACATATCAAATATTCTCACATATATTATGCAGAACTTTAATCTAAAGATCATATTGATTATCTCAAAAATAATACGAAATACCATATATAACCCAAATCAAAAAAACGTATTTTAAGTTCTTTTTATAATATAAACTTTGTATATATTATAATCTTCGATCCTTTGCTTCTTTCTGTGTAAGCAAATGCAAGAAACCACTCCGCCGATATTGGCGACATCGTCATCGGTTCGTCGTGGGTGCCGGGGCTCCCTGTCTAACCCATTTTTTGTTCTTCGCCTTTTTTTGTTTACGTTGCTAATTGTTTTGATTTTATTGAATTTCATTGAGTGCCGCCTGCCAGCGACGAGGACGGAAAACCGAAATGAAATTGAAAATGGCTCATTATGTGCCGAACCGAGAGTACTTGGGTATATACGTGTGTTTATATAGAAGATCGTGGGCCTGGGTGACACGACGCGGAGCAGTTGCCTCGGCTTTTCCACATCCAGTCGCGATTCTGAGCTGCCTGTGGCATGTTGCTGCAGTTTCTGTCGCGTTTGGCGGACTTCGTTACCAACAATCGCGCCATGATTCCCTGGCCAAAATCGGAAGACCCAAGCGCCGGCAAATTGGCAGCCGAAATGGCCAATTATGTGAGTCAGCCGCCGACTTATCGGGCAGTCGGTACGCCAAGTGATATAGCGATCGAGTCAGCTATTAATAGTTCACAGTTCAGTGATCATCCCACATCTTATCGCCATCGGTTAGCAGTGAAAATGCACTTGGGGCCGGGTTTTACTAAATCAATTAATTAATTTATGGCCAGCCTGTGCGGGGCAATCGTTGAGAAGCAATCTGCCGATCGGCCCCACAGCGCCAAATAGGCAAAACTTCCCCCGCCCATCGATCGCTTTCAATGTAAACAATTTCAGCAAGCCGGCTCAGTCGATCTTCGGAATACAGGGTGTCATCGGTTCTGCATAGTATGTGTGATCCATTATGATAGAGCATCATCTGTGACCCATTCAAATCGATCATATAGAGTGCTTGTGACCCAATCCAATTGTTTTGACATACTTTAATGACATCATCGATCTGTGCACAATGTTCTGTTTTATGTGATTGGAAATAGTTGAGCCACTAAATTGAGAAATTCAAGGTCCGATTTCAATGTCCGGCTTAATTATTTTTCGTCTGTGTTTTCACTGCTAATAAACACACTACTGTGGCAATTAAATATTTAAAGAGTGTATTTATAATCGTTTGTTTGTTTTGGTGGCTTTGCAATGGAAAAACTGTGATTCACTAAACCTTTTTACCTTCATGTGAGTCAACGATTTCTTCTTGATTTAACTAGGTGTTCTTTAATTCAATATATGTGTGTTCCAGGTACAAAACCAATTCTTGTTTGTTTTAGGAAGTATTTAATAAGTACTAGTTTCGGGATTCCATAAATATTGTATCTTTAAAATTTAATTTATTTAATACTTTAGGCACCACCATAAAACAATATGTTCTGTCAGTTTCTGACATTTCCATCATATAAGAGTTTCTTAAAAAGCAACCATCAATTCTTTAAAGTATCTCTTGAGACACTCGTAAAAACCGATGGTATGTGGACCACTCAGGCCAATTATCAATCCGCCATGCTCAATCTAATGGGCCAAAGCGCCCTGCTCCAAAATTAGATTAATTAAAGAACGAAGTCAATTAAGAAATCAAGCCGATTGCCTCACCCTGTACATGGCTTAGATGTATATATACGAATAAACAACGCCGCTAAAACCCGTGCCTGCCATATCTGATGAGCATGAAGAGTCAGCGTCTCTGACAGCCGATTGTGCTGCGACTGTGAAACTGGAGCAGCTGTTTAGAGCCCCTGCCCCAAATCCCCCCATAAGACAGCCGCCCCAACTCCCACTCCCCAGCCCCTAGAGACGTTATTTTCATTCATTGGGTGGGATGCAGACGTGGACATGCCCCAAAAGAGTTTCGAGATAGTGGATCGCGCAAGATAGAGATTGCCACTCGGAGAAACAGTAGATCATTTTTCACTTTTTATAAACTATTAATAAAATAAATATTTGTTAGTGGATTTCTAGATAAATATGTCATCGAAAAAGTACGATTTTAATATTTTATGTCAGGGGTTTTTGATTAACATAACAAATATGAAATACATCATTACCATACGAATTAGTATAGGAATAGGTTCCTATCTTTATTTTATGTTAATAATGAACCCATTTCTATCCTAATTAATTAATTTCTTCGGGCAGCACTACTTACATTCTTGTTATACATTTCCAAAAATATCCCAAAAATATCTTTCGGTTTGGAATTTTACCCAAAACTATGAGCACATATTTCTTTCTGTGCATAACTAGAGCTGAGACAGAACCCAAAAACGGAAAGTGAATGCGCCGGTGCACGCGTCTCGACCTGGGAATTGGGAATTTGGAGTTGGAGTCGGTGGATGGGCGCTTTCTGGGATGGGATGGTTTGGGAGCTGGTTAGCTCGGTTCCGTAGCAGCAGCATCATCATCATCAGCGGCGTCGTCGATTGTATCAATTCAATTGGACGCAGCAGGTGATTAAAAATTGGTTAGAGCCACAAAATTATCAATGTAAGATCGTTGATTGCCCGTGGCTGTTGTTTTTTATCCATTTTTTTTTTGGATGCCATGTCTACCTGTGTGGTTGGCTTATATTGTGGTTTCCAATACCTTTGGGAGGCTCAGCTGCCTACAAAACACCCATAGTTGAGTCGTTTTATTTGATTTGTGTTCGATTGGATTTTAATTTGTAAAGTGGAGGCTAATTAGAGCGTCGATCATTTCTATGAGTTTCACTTTTCAGCGCTGTGAATGGGGAATTGGAAATTGGGAGGAGACGATGATGATGAAGCGGAACATGGCAATGGGGAACCTTGGCCTGGCGCGTGGGCATGTTTTCAGAGAGTTGAAGGTTTCCCACTGATTTTTGTTTTCGTGTCCCATATTTTAAGGTCACCTCTTGGCTGGGCAGCGATGGAGCGGAGAATCTGCAAAAGTTTTCCCAGTTGCAATGGGACAACGAATCACAGCTGAGGACCCAGGAGCAGGAGTTTGAGAAGTACTACTTTATAGCGATGGTGAGTAGCGGAATATGATATATTCCATTAGCTTACTTTTAAACTTTTCATTTTTTTCTTAAACCCTAGAAACATTTGGCCAAAGGACGGGATCTGCATGCCGCTGCATTGAAAGTCTCTGTCCTAAGTGAAAGCGCCAACAACCTGAAGTCTGCCCTGGATCAATTTGGCCAGAAACTGGAGGTGGCCCACGAGCGTTTCGAGGCTGCCGGCCGCCTGCTGCACTTGCTCACCCAACATCAGCGAGAATCCGCTGCCAGGGAGGAGCTGCAGCGCCTGGCGGAGCAACTGGGCGCCACCTCGTTGCTGGAGAAGCACGGCTGGCCGTCGATGAGGAAGAGCCACTCGCTGCCGGTGGCCAGTAGCACTCCTGCTCCAACCACCGGGAAGAGGGTGAGCTATCGCTGCAGTTCGGCCAGTGGCAGCTCCTTCGAGGGCGGTCCTTCGAGCAGCAGTTGCAGTTGCTGGCGGGAAAGTCGCAACCTGGAGGACATGGACCAGATGGAGGAGGAGGAGGAGCAGGATCACGACTGTGACGGTGGCGACGGAGAGGAGCAGCAGTCCAAGATCGCCGACTCCGGAGTGGGCGTCTGCGATAACTGCGAACGCAATCCCAAGCTGGCCAGAATCTGCTCCTGCCAAAGTCTCAACGAAAAGAGGTTGGTAACTGGTAATCAAAAATATAGTGTACAATAGCTAATCCCAATCCTTTACAGTCACGACGAGCTGCTCGAGGACGAGTGCTTCGATCGACCCTCGAAGAGATACATGGACATGCACTCGCCCATGGAGGCGAATGCCCATCTGCAGTGCCATGGCTCCAGTCTGGAGCTGCCCAAGCTGGAGGAGCTCAGCTGCCTGGATCCCAAGATACAAAAGTGAGTAGTATAGCCAGTAGTAAAAAGAAACTCCTTTCCTAATGAAACTAATATCCCCAGAACGCTTCTATTGATCATGCGCGAGATGATTGGTACCGAACGCGACTATGTGCGCTCCCTGTACTACGTGATCGAGAACTACATAGACGAACTGCTGCGCGAGGATATCCCACAGCCTCTAAGGGGCCAACGGAATGTGATCTTCGGCAACATCGAGAAGATCTTCGAGTTCCACAACTCGCACTTTCTGGGCGAACTGGAGCGCTACGAGCGGAACCCCCTCAAAGTGGGAGCTGCCTTCCTGGAAATGGAGTCCAAATTCTACCTATATGCGCTCTACAATAAGAACAAGCCCAAGAGCGATACCTTGCTCAGCGAATATGGCAGCTCTTTCTTCAAGCCGAAGCAAATGCAGCTGCAGGATAAATTGGATCTGGCCTCATATCTTCTGAAACCCGTTCAGAGGATGGGAAAGTACGCCCTGCTCTTGCAGCAGTTGGTCAAGGCCTGCAAGGGAGTCGAGGGAGCAGCTCTGCAAGAAATCGCCGCGGATGTGGAGGAACTGCAGCGAGCGGAGGAGATGGTCAAGTTCCAGCTGCGCCATGGGAATGACCTGCTGGCCATGGACTCCCTGCGCGACTGCGATGTAAATGTCAAGGAACAGGGACGACTCCTGCGCCAAAATGAGTTCCTCGTCTGGCAGGGACGCGGTGGCAAGAAGACACTGCGACAGGTGTTCCTCTTCGAAGAACTGGTGCTCTTCAGCAAGGCTCGTCGTTTTCCAGATCACAAGGTAGGGATGGAATAGGAAAATGCTAAGTTTACTTTGGAAGAATGATAGTTATAGGGTTATGAATATAAGAAACATTCATTGGTCATATACCACATTCAACATTTTTTTTCTTAACTCCTTTCTTCAAACCATACGGTGGGGTTTAAATTACTTATTTACTTTTTGAAAGCCAAAATACTATATTTTCAGTATCATAGCATATAATAAAACAAAACTTGATATATTTATTTTTTGTATGCGTCAAAGGCGGCTTTTGAAAGACTTAAGGTACCACGTAAAATTGTCCCAGTAATTTAGAACTATTCATAAACTTTCTTAAATATAATCCAACAGAATCTGGACATCTACATCTACAAGAACAGCATTAAAACTTCAGATATTGGCCTCACAGCGCACACGGGCGATTCGGCCACCAAGTTCGAGATTTGGTTCCGGAAAAGAAAACCTGATGACACGTGGATGCTGCAGTGCATGTCGGAGGATATTAAAAATGCCTGGACCGAGGAGATCTCCAAGCTGCTCTGGAAGCAGGCGAAACGAAACCGAGGTTTGTGGGTCTAAAACAGAAATCTGAGTATAAAAGATTATATTCATAACAAATACCTTTCTCTTTGCAGAAGTTCGTCTGGCGGAGATGTCCTCTATGGGCATTGGCAGTAAACCCTGTCTCGATATTCGACCGAGCAACAACCAGATCAGCGATCGCTCGATTCCACTGGCACAGCTGAACAAGAGTAAGTTTGGCTAAACAACTTGTAGTTTCTGGTCAAAAACTCCATCATAACCCTACCTATAGCTCCCAAGCTGCGTCACTCAGAGCCGGGAAAGGGCAGCATGCGGCGGCCCAACTCGCTGATCTCGGAGAGCTCTTTGTCCAGCGGCACCAGCACCACCAGTGGCTCCTCCATCAGCGGAGGTTCCTCGTCGGGTCACCATGACGGCGGTGGCAGGCATAGCCTGCACTTTGGCAAGTTGCCGGGACCACATAGCACCAGTTCCACCAACTGCAGTGCCACCCTGGAGCTGATAAACGAAACACAGGCCCTGAAGTTGGGCAAATCCCAGAGCGGAGGAGGAATCAAGGGGACGGAAACCGCTGCCGAGGGAGGCAGCACTTCCGGAAACGTCAGCGGAAGCGGAAACGGACTCGGGAGCAGCAAACGACACCACAAACGATCGACAACCATTGTCAGCCAGCTGTCCATGGGTATAGAGCTTGAACTGTGCTACTTCTTCTAGACGCACCCCGTAGCTAGTAGTTGATCCCTGTACATAATCTCGCAGAACCCCCCAGTATTACTGTATATAATCCCAACCAAGTCCAACACCAAAACCTAACCCGTAATCCGTGCCTGTCGAGTGCTGCATGTTTGTTGTTCTATGTTCTATGTTGTTGTTGCCGCTTTAGTGTCCTGTTCTCATCCGAAATATAATATGTCCAATATGTGTAAATATCGCCCATTCAGAGAGCGGCATTGTCTCCGACATGTGCGTAACCCCGGATCAGGAGCAGTCGGCGGCGGAGAGCAGCCGGAGCAGTTGGTCCACATCGACGACTACGGCATCCGGAGCTTCGACGACCAGCGCATCCACGGTGATCCTGCGGCGATACCGATCCTACGCCCATGCGGCGGAGTCCGCAAGTCCGGACAGCGGCAAATAGGAGCTCATGGAGCATCGAATCTAGATATATATATAGGAATCCCCATTTATAGCTTTAGCAGAACGGTTTCATCGGATCCATATTTTATCATTACGTTCGATCCTTAATTTTAATTCATTATTTTTGTTATTTATTATTTATTACATTTTTAGTTCTCGTTAATTTGTCATAGTCGCTGCTTTTGGTTTGGCCTTGTTTGTTTTTCGGAAACTTAATTGAAATTATTGAATTCAGCGTGTCAATGTCGAAGCATATTTCACATATAGTTCTTAGTCCACCCAATCGAAAGATCCGCACCACACACACACACAGATCGATGGGAGCCATGAGCACCACCCGGAAAGGGGCGTGGCCGATGCCCAACATATCTGAATCGAAGTTCATTACGTACAGTTAGTTGATATGTAACCTAAGTGCCTACATCTAGAATAATCGTAAACGAACATAAAAAATATATCTATACATTATATTAAATCGATAAATAAGTATAAGCGAAAATTTAAAATCAATAAATGTTGCTTCAATGTAAGACGATCGTTTTTACTTATATTCAAATAACCCGCCAAAAGAGAGTCGATGTGTTCTATTTATAGCCTCCTTACGATTCCCAAGTGCTTTTTCGTCGATGTGTTCGTATAAATAGTGGAATCTCGCTGTCTTACAATCTCTGAATGATATGATGAAAACTTTACTACCCGAACCATCGTGTGGGCCTTTGCCGATTCGGTAAAGGGACGTAATTCTGATTCAGCCGAAAACTGTTTTTGCTTTTTTCGTTTGCCATTTAATGGATCGTATAAAAATAACTTTTCACTTAGGACTAACTAACTTTGGGGAGCTCCATTAACCGCCGTGTAGAGTGGATATGAAGAGCACATTGTCATTCGGCTGCAGCTCGTAGTCCAGTTCACCCTGGAAATGTATTTATATATCATTAATGATCATTAGATATCCTTATTTTAACTCACCAGGAGTTCCCAGTCTGTGTCATTTATCAGAACCAAAATTCCAGGTCGTCTGCAAGGAACAAATATGAACAAGTAATGGTAAACGGTAATGATTTTAAACTTACACGGTGTCTCCTTGAAGAAAGAGTTCTGGTCGTTCTGTTAAAATATTGGCATGCATCCACTTCAGCAGGTTGGCAATGGTCCCTTAAGAAATATATAGTTAAATTAAAAGTTTTTAAAATTTCCCAGAACGATTTGAGAACTTACATTTTTGATTACCATCTAAGGCCAGTTGACGTCGTTTGATGTTACCAAAAAGTAGCTCCGCTCCAGCGCTATTAAATAAACTCATATAGGTTTAAATTTAAATACAAATAGGTATTTCCTTACCCAAATTCCAATATTATTTTTAATTCCGGCGTGCCCATCATATGTTTGGATGTAAATAAAAGTATGACCGCTTGTGAACCACCCGAAAAACACTGCTCCACAAATAATACCAAATGGAAAATCCGAAAACTCCAAGCAGTCCGGCAACTACAAGCTCAGAACTTCCAATGAAGTACAAAGGATTTTCGGGGAATTTACCTGTAACATTTGAAACAGAAAGATAACGGCCCGCTTTAAAATAATAAATAAACGTAGTTCTTCTTTTTGTCTTAAAAAGTATTTAAACTTGTATCAACAACTTATTTCATCATCCTCAAACGTACTTCTCATTATACCAAAAGTAAAAAGTGATGGAAAGTTCCAAAAAAAAACCTCTTTCCTTCGGTGCGGGCATAGAATTTGTGCTCGATATGATCTCCATTGATGACGAGGACCGACAAACTTTCAAGGAAGATGCCCAACAAATCGAAAATGAGTTCATCCGGGCGATTTCCCGCAGAGATCCTTTCTTCGCCTCGGCCTTCCGTGGACTGTCCTTGACGGGCAGTAATCTGGATAATGTCAAGATCAATCTGCCTGATGAGTTCGATATGCTGACGACTATCCAGTTGCCATGTAAAGTAGAGCCAGTGCCGCTGATCGGCCAACCCAACTATGTGTTATTACGGGTCAAAGGGGATAATATTCCTTATCACTTGGCAAATCATCAAGGACAAGATTACTATATAAGCCGTCGGAAGATTCAGGCCTGGTTCCGCGACAACGTCAGCGAAGTAATTCCAGAAATAAAGTACATACACTGCGAAGGCGGGCGAACCTACGAGCTGAAACACATAAGCGGAGGGCATGTAGCCCACACCATTAAGGCTGTATGCTTATCCAATCCAAGTCGGAAGATCTGCTTCGACTTTGTGCCAGCTTTTAAATGTTTGGCATCGGAGTGGCTCCGTGTTTTTCCCCAACACCCGAATGAGGATCGCAACTGGTACGCCGTGCCCTGTAAAATCCGAACTCCCAATGTTCCGGATGATCCTCTTTCTTTCATCGTCTGTGCTCCTCACTGGGAGCGAATGGTCCTAAGCAAGAGGCAGAACCTCAAGGACGGATTGCGGCTAATGAAAGCTTTACGGGATTCCAATGATATGCCCATGATCTTCAGTTACACAATCAAGAGTCTCTTCTTGAACGCGACCAAAAAAAGAATGATAAGATATAACAAAGCGCCAGGACTAGTTCTAATTCGAGTAAGTGTTATTGACTACTAGAGTTAAACTTTCATATTTATGCTTTTAAATCAGGCGATTCTCCTTATGGCAAAGTTTCTTCGGAGGGGATTTCTTCCGTTTTACTTGGTGCCGGATGCTAGCGTTTTGGAGCACATTGGCATGGAACAAAGAAGGGATTATGTTCGAAAACTATACCGAATCGTAAAACGACTCATCAAGTGTCGGGATAGGAACTGCATGAGCCCAGATGATATGCAGTTCATTTTTGGAATGCAGTACTGATGACGAAGTTTGTTATATTGCCATATCCAGTTTGTTTGCTAAGAAAGCAGAAGATATTTCAAATGTTGTTCTAAAGTTATCATCGAATTCTTTCAACTCTAGCTCTCAGAAGCCTTTTATATTTAACTTTTTCTATGTACAAGTGTTTTCCTTTAAGGGTTTAAGTGTCAGTAAATCTTCTTTATTGCTGTTCCTTTGCTTTTGTCTGCTTTTCGGGGAGAGAGCTCAGATCCAATTTGAAATCAATGGGTTTGTCGTAGCCCATGATTTTAACATAGTGCTCGGGATCGTCAAAAAGGGCGGGATCCACAAAAAGAGGTCGTTTGTTGACCAGAAAAGAGGTGAACATGCCGGGAACCTCTGGAACAACCACATCGTTGGGTCGGAATTTCGTCTGGAGAAGAAATGCCATATTAGCTGGAGATGTTGGCCATTACATCCCATGTACCCACCTTGATCTTTTGCAGAAGTAGGGATATTGTGGTGGCTGTGTACTCCTCCGTTTGGGGATTATAGTGCAGTTCCGTTACGTATTTCTTGGTGATAAAGTGCAGCAGCAGTGGGGTGACAAAGGTGAAGAACCCACCGATGGTGCAGAGGAATATACCCATTCCAGTTCCTCCTATTTTCATTCCCTGTTCGAGGAGAATGGGCTGGGCGGCCAAGCCGGCTAGGCTGGTGCTGAGCGAAAAGAACTTGACCACCTTCATCCGGGGAGCCAGGGTTCCATAGTAAATCCGCTGCAGTCCATCCTCGGAATCTGTTTTCGTTGACTTCACCGAAAGGCACCTGTATTGCTCGAGTTTTTGTGATTGCAATTGCAGGGGTTTTGCTAAACTGAAGCCGGCGATGCATCTGCAGTTTTGTTGGAGGGAAATCTGACGAGTGGCATTTCCCAGGGCTAAGGCAAATTGTCTCCCTCTTGGTAGCGCTGCTCGTAAACTTAACATGATGTATTTTTCTAGTTTTAATTGAAATAAACAGATGTTTTTTTGAACGTTGAATAACACGAGCTGCTGTGGGTAATGCACTAAAAAATCCGAAGAACGTGTATGAACTCTTTTAAAATATACCATCTAAAGTTAAATACCAAAGAGTGTACGGTCGGTCACATTGTTCTCGTAACGGACATTTGAATGCGAAAATATCTAAAAGGCTTTTGGTCTATTAAGTACCACATTTTTTTATTAAAAGGTTTCAAAATGTCCTCTTTCACTGAAAATTTCACAAATCAATAGCAAGTTTTCCTTTTGTTAATTGATTTACTTTCGTTTATCTTTTGGATGTCTGTTAATACAACAGTATTACTCAACGTGTAAATATATAATCGTTGTAATCTTCGTCTGCATAAGCCATATAGTTAACCACATAAACCACATAAAAAAAAGTATTAGAAATTAGTATATATGTATTTAAATCTAGATATAATTAAATATAAAGATTTATCAGCTAAAAGTTGAATACAATATCTGCCATATCTGTTTCTCTAAACATCACCAACATTTGGATAAAAGAAGACCCTACAAGCAAGAAAAACCAAATGGGCGATTACAATAAGTCAGTTAGTTTTGGAGGTTTTAGTAGTACCACTGATAATAATATCTTTGCAAAACACAATAATCGGTGACCCATTTTAAAGCTTTTGTGCCTGGGTTCATTTTTCACCAACGATATCCCAACAATAGAGCTAATAATTTGGCAAAGGTCGAGTGCGTACTGGAGATTGTAATTGATTAACAATGAGCGGGGGCGTGGCCACGCCCGTTTGCGGTGTTATCCGAAAACCAAAAACACACAGAAAACTGGCATGTGGAATCGAATTAATATGCTCGAATTAATGGCAACTGATGCGGGGGCGTGGCAGCTGGGGCTCTAGTTACCACTGCTACATGCAATTTGTCGCTGTTGGCGGTGACCGGCGCCTGACCACATTTTTAATTTATGTTGCTTTAATTGTTTAAATGGAATGGCACACACGCCGAGGTTATGGTTACACACAGAGCTCTCCGCCATGGTTGTATTTTATTTTTTAGCCCCATCAATTGTTGGACTAGTGTGCCAAGTGCACGCCCGACTGAGCTGCACTTTCAGAACCATGTCCAGTTGGCCAACCCATCCCAACCCCTCTGGAACCCATTCCCATCGCCCACTTCCCAAGGACTCCCCTTTGGAGTCCGGCAGTTGAGTGACAGGCGAGCGGAGATCTTGAAATTGCTTTAATGCAGCGGCCTCCGGTTTCATTGGGCTGCATTCAGGCGTCACTAATCAACAATTTTCAAAGTGACCAAAAATCACATTTGATTTTGAATTGCCCCAGTCATGTGGCTCCGTATCTCCCTCTCTATCCATCATCCCTGAATCCTGCAATCCTTTTGTTATCCGTGCCTTTTGTTGTCATTTCATTATTGTTATTTCATGCATCATATTCATTCCACGACTATGGTTGCACCGAAAAAAATCCAGACTCTGAGTAAGGCCAAGTATTTGGATAGATGTCCTTAAAAAGATTTTTGGTAAATACAAATCGACAATTGCATACAAATATCTAGAAGTTTCATGTCTCTTTTAAATGATTTTAATTTATTTTTTGTATTTATTATTATTTTGTATATTTTGGCTAAGTGCACTTGCTGCTTTGCAATTGTTTGGCAAAAATTTCAGATGCAGCGGACAAAATAATT